TACTCCAGCTATGGGGCCTGGTAGGAACTCCCTTGGCAAGATAGTTCATTTTCCAGCACAGTGAAGAAGAGGGACAGAGAAACTATGCAGGGCATCATTTTGGACTACAGCCTCTTCTGTCCTTTGTTTGCCCATATCCTGGGCAATTACTCTGTTTCAACATAATTGCAGGCACAAATTAAGACATTTTTCAGCAAATCAGCTTCACTCATCTCTTGTTTTTCTCTGTTTAATAAGGTCATTACTGTATAGTTTTACAGTACACTAGCTTGAGAATGCAGAGATATTCTTGTGGCTCAAAAATTTTGTGGGGGAGGAACAAGGAAGATAAGTAATGTCAGACATCTGGATGTGGAAAGACAGGTTCCTTTCAGCAACATGCTCACTACAAATAAAAGGTTTCTTCTTGATGAAAAGGATACATGCTCACCAAAAGTTTCTCACAAAGGATAAGCAGCACTTATGATTTCAAATATACACCAAAAAGAAAAATGGATACAGCTGTATACTATTATGTTTCCAGAATAATCATGTTATGCTGAGTAACTGGAATAAGAATAGTATTGTGGAATAAATAACCAAGCCTAAACAATGCCCTCTCACACAAGCATTTCTCAAAATCTAGACCTAAAGCTAATTAAAGTTATTTCATTTACATTTTGGGAATTTAGTTCAATTTCAAAAATAGGGATCAGCAAACAAACACCCATTCCCACCTCACAAAAAAAGCACACCAAAAACCACCACAACAACCAACCAACCAAAAAAAAAAAAAAAAAAAAAAAAAAAAAAAAAAAAAAAAAAAAAAAAAAAAAAAACCCTTAGAACAATCTTTAGAAAAAGAAAAATTTAAAGGGGGATCTGAGCTTTCAGGCAGAGAAATATTTGGGTTTTTTTTTTTCATTTAAGAGAACCCCATCATAACTGACTAACTACTGTAGAAGCCTGAAAGTCTACTATTTTCATATCCCATAATTACTTGTCTTCATCAACCAAATAAAGACCATTTCTTCCAAGGGTACTATCAATTTCATAATTTTCAGTCTTTCCCTTTTTCTTACCAGGATATTGCATAGGTGTATTAATAAGAGGCATGCTTACCTGTGACACCCTCTGCCAGTAGATCGGTCATTTTGCAGCACAGTGACAGTAATTTAGTAGTGTAATCATCTAAAAGCATTACCTAAACATATTTTTTAAAAAACACACACAAGTATTTAGACAAATTAATCAGCTATATTAAACCCATGTCATTTCCTCAACAATTCGCCATAAAAGTTTGAAGCTAAAACTATTTTATTCTCTATTTTTTTCATTACCTGCACACACCAACATTGCAGGGGGAAATTAATCTCAGAAGGCAGCTCCTAATGCACAGGACTTCCAAAGACAAGCTCAATCTTAAATATGAGCTTTTTTCCCCCTAGTCATACTAGAAAGTACTTTCAAAGTTTTACTTGGACACAAGTCTTTTGAATTCCTGCTAATTTACCCCATGGCCTGCTCAAATAAACCTGTATTTATTTTAAAATTGTTTTATAGCTTAAGCAGTTCTAACAGGTATCATACTGCTGAATCCTGCTCCACATGTACTGAAGTACAATGTAATTTTTGAAATTAATAAAGTACAAGTATTTCAAAAGGAAAGTGAAGTTAAACACAAACACCTTCAAATTTTTCTTCACATCTAATAAAAAAAAAGAGACTACTAACTATTTGTTCTTCCTGTACTAGACTCTAGATTTTTCAATACATATTATACAGAGATCCGAGTTACCAAAAGTAAAGTCTATTACTTGGACAGAAAACAATCTTGAGTGAAAATGCCTGACATTAATTTTATCTATCTGTTCTCTACTCAGTGATATGGATTTCTTGTTCAAGTGATGACAGAATTCTTATAAAAATTTTTAAAAATTTTTACCTTCCATTCTTCCTCTTTGGTGAAGTCATCAAATATGGCTGATTTCAGCTCTGTAAGAAGAAACAGTTTACCAGTTAGAGGAACTAAATTATTACTAAGGAAAAGAAAATAATTCATCCATTTAGACTCGTATGTTCAGAGCCCTAAAAAGAAAGAAAAAAAGCCCCATACTGATAAATAACTGCACAGAATTCTTCACCACAAACTGTCTCTGCTTGTTTGTAGGACTGCACACAGGTGTAATAACAAATGTTTAACCACATGAAAATTTTATTAATATTCCTATTTTCTGATAACACTCTTGCCAATTAATCTGCAGCATTACATATAAATCCTTTTAATAAACTGAGTGCCCAACAACCTTGTCCAAAATCTCAAATATTATAATTTTTCTACAATATTTGTTAAAAGACACCAGAACATACAAATGCATAATTCAGTTGTCTTGAACTTCATTTCTGCAACTAAAAAATAGAAGTCAGTTTTCTCCCATAATAAAATGAAAGTTTATTCCAAGCTTTCAGTGTACCAGACACTGTGTACTTACCCCTGCACTATTCCAACTGTTACTTATTTTGCCCTCAACCTTCAGCTGCTTCACCCAAATAATTGGCCTACAATGGTTCACAGGCTCTCAAAATAATTTTTCTCCTGCAAGCATTCTGGACACACCAAAACCAAACCCAGGTGAGTGCTCCATTTTTGTCCAGGCTTTCATTTTCTTCTCACAGATTTTATACCAACCATACACCTTAACTACCTTTTCATATTTTGTCTTCTCCAAAAACATTTAATTTGTTTACAAAGGCTTTTTTTCTTCTACCTTTACTTGACAATCTTGAAAGAACTATACACAACACTGACAGAACAGCAGGCTGCCAAATTCCTGTGTGGAAAAAAAAGAAGCAAACCGCAAAAAATTTGGCAAAATTAATGACACTTTTATAACACTTCCTGAAGAAAGGACTGTTAAGCAAGTGCTACAAAATCCAGAATTGCTAAAATGCTGAATCATTTACAAAATTTATTGTAACTATCTGTGGCTAGGCTAGAACTTATTATACAAATCTACAAAACAATTTAAATTTGTGAAAAAAAAAAATTAAAAGACAGAATTCCTCGTGGAAGGACTTCATTTAGAGATTAACTATATACAACAGCTCTCTGTATTTCATTATTTTGTCCACAGGAACTATTGTATCCTAAATACAGGTAGCTTTCTCTGCCCTCATTACTGTGAGCTTAACTGACAACAAACTTAACTTTCCACACACTTCTGCTTCAATTCCACACACCACAGGTGTAACTTCTATGCCTATTTACAGAGCCGGAACAAGATACACATTGACACAGCTGCTACATAAAGCATCGGCATCACTATTTTCAGACATAATGTGAATCAGCCTTAACAAAAACCCCCTAATGTTTTGCTGAAACATTAGGAAGCAGCAGTTTATGGCCTTCAATTACCGATTTAAAAAGTGCCAGACAATGCTTAAAACTTAGTTCATCAATTGTCATTGTTGTTGTAGTCATGGAAAGACAAGGGAAACTAGACGACTAACAGAGCATTCACTTCAGAAGTTCTCTTAAGTAAGCTTGTAATATAAATGCTTTATTATTCACACTGCTTCACTGTCAATCTAATCTTTGTTCCTCACACCGGCAACACAATTTTCAAACATCTTTATGGCCTTTAATTACACACTTATGCTTTGATCAAATTTCTATTTTATTGGTCTCTTTTAAGGAACAAGTATTCTATAAAATATCTCAGGACAAAACATTGGCCTTACAGTCACAGGCCCAAAGAGCAAGACAGCAGGATAAGCAAAGCAGCAGAAGTGGGGATTTCTAAGGGCTACGTTTTAAACAAAAGTATCCAATTCATACAAGCAGCATACAGGTGCCAGCAATTAGGACTGAACTCCAGAGGGACAGCCTGCTTTTCACTTCCAGAGACACAAACGAACAGCTTTCAGGTGGAAGCAGAGGAGGAAAACGAAAACAAGCCGGCAGCAGCACCTCCCCATTTCAGCGACAGTCGCCGGGCTGGCTGAGCAGCTCATGGAGTCACAACCTCAGGACAATTAAGCTCGGGATGAGGTGGCTGCCTGTGCCTTTTCCCCTAAGGTCTCACACTACCTGAAATACTATCAGCCTTTCTACTCCAGCAAGGAAAGGAGCAGTTACAACTTCATTTTCTCTAACACCAGCAGAACCTGCTCCAAAACACAGAGATAAAAATCTGCAGTTCACTCGTAAGCCCACCTGAAGCCACCTTCAACTTTTTCTACCAAAAACTGTGAAGCCAAATACAAAGTGGGAAGTGCCGCTCCGGGAGAGAGAGCAGAGCCCCTTCTGGGGCCGGAGCACTCCCTAAAAGTAGTGGCTCGGAGGTGATAGAGAAGCGCTTGAAGAGCTGACTTAGGTTTAGGCTCTCAAGAGCCCGTCAGGCGGGCTGCAGCCTACAGAGCTCACCCTTATCTCGGAAAAAGGCACAAGCGTCTCTTTGCAGCGCTGTCACTGCGGACACCCGCGGCAACGCCGCAAGCCGGGGCAGCCGCCTCCCCCCAGCGCGCCGAGTCACCGCCGGTAACAGCCGGCAGAAGCCGCCACCCACAGCCTCCGCCGCACACCGGCTGCCCACAGAGCCACTCGGGCCCGACCCCAACCCCGACCCGCTCGGCCTCCCCAGCTCCGACACGCACCGCGGCTCCGCCCGCGTCGGGAGCGGCCCCAGACCTCACCTCGGCGGGCACCCCCGACCCCACACACAGAGCTACGCGGAGCCGGCCTCAGCGGCGGAGGCTCCCGGCCGGCCCGCGCCCACCGAACGGCCCAGAGCGCTCCCGCCGCGGGGCCGGGGAAGGAGCCCCACAGTCACTCACTCTGCCACACGAAGCTCTTCAGCCCCTGCACCGCCGGCGCCATCTTGCTGCCAGCCCCGCCTGGCAGCGCTGCCTTCCCCTCCCTGTTCAGGGGCGGCGGCGGAGGGAGCAGCCCGATCCCGGGCGGGGCCGCTCCTGCCGGCCGGGGTCCGCCCCTCAGGAGCCCGGACCGGCCTGCCGGGAGCCGGGCCCTCTTCGTCGGCCACCATGGGGTCCGAAATTCCCACTGGGGAAGTGCCCGGTGACGAGGGCTCGGCCCCTGAGGAAGGAGCTTCCTGCTCAGGTGAGCCCGGGACGGCGGGAGCCGCTCCCGACCGCCGAGGCGGCCCCTGGCGAGGTGTGGGGAGCCAGAGGGAAGCTGGAGACCGGGGTGGCTCCCAAAACCTGCCCTATCCCGGGGGAAAACTGCAGCTCCCTCATGAAAACGGCCCCCAGGTTCCCGCTGACATGCGTGTAAAAACCACCGAGGAAAGCACTGTCGGGTCGTAGAACGACAGCGGCTGTTGACGCCTGTAATCGTCTGTCAGAAGTTATAGTTTGAAGGCATAAAGTTGTGTTCTCAAAGGGGAACCAGCAGCAGGAACAAATACGAAGGAATGCGAGGAAAATTTCTCTTTCCACAGCGCCAGGTATGAGGAAGAATAGTTAGTTCCCGGTCTGTATGGCGGTGTGCCATTCAAAGGGGAATACGATGAGGCCATCATACCCGACAGAAAAGAAGACACTTATGAGTGGGCAAAAATGCAATAGACAATGAGCCGAAGAGCAAACTTCATTTAGCTTAATTATTTTGTGAGTCTTGTATAAACCATATAACAGAAGGGAAGAGACGCCCACCAGCCATGCGGCCACAAGCCGAGCGCTGTGGTGGCCCGGTGTCACCGGGGTCTGGTGGCCGCTGTCCAGCTGTGATCCAGCAGGGAGGAGCGGCCAGCCCAGCGCGACCTGCTCTGCCCCGGGGCTGCGCCCGCAGTGCCAGCGCGGCTGCGAACAGCGCTGCGCGCCCGCCCCAGCTCGCCCCCGTGCGAGGCTGGAGCGACGCTCTGACAAGATGTGCGGTGCAAAAAGTAAATCATTAGCGTTTACTGGAGTGCTTCTCAGCTGCCTAGAAATGGTGAGTGCCACTTACTTGCTGTAAAGCTGTTTTAGCTTGCTAAGGACTTACTTGCTGTAAAACTGTTTTAACGATGGTACTTTATTCTTCGGAAAAGTAAACTAAAAGTTAGGGTGGAGCACTATCAGACATCCGCTTCCACATTGGTATTCCGTTACTATCACAGTGTTGCACTGTTTACATATGAGTGAAAAATACTTTCAAAGTGTGTCAACAACTGCAAACGGGATTAATAGGCATGTTCAGAGGGGGAAATGCAGAAAAGCAGTACAATCTGCATACCTGTACCAAATCTCATTGGTTGTGTACACTTTCCCTGCTTAAAGAATCTGAGCAAATAGATCATAACAGTAAAATGTGTTAATAAACACAATATTTTAGGTTGTTGTTACTAACATTCTTAGATTTTAATTTTCAAAATAAAATATGTCACATTGTATTTCTAATTTTGTTACATCTTCCTTTTCAGATATTTTCAGCAAACACAGGTAAATATTCAAAATGTTTTTTTGGTTTTGCCTGACTAATTTTGATTGGGTCTGAAGAGAACACCCACTTGTGATTTTTAATAAAATATTCTGTAAGTTCTAGCAGCTTTCTAAACAAAAAATGTTTTCATGTTTGATTCAGGCTTAAAAAATTACATTGATGTCTTCATACATTTTAAATCTCATTTTTAGGAGTCACAATTCTGTTGGACAGTCATGCAAATATTCAGACTTGTACCTTGATACTAGAGTGAACCAGGGAGAACACTCAGATGAACAAATTCTGCTGTTCATTATATAGGTGTGGTACAAATGGGATTCACACTGTCCCATATTTGCAACCAATTAATTGTTGTATATTTTAATAATTTTTAAAAATCAAGAAAGAAACATCAAAAGAAAACTCCATCACACTCCCTCCAAAAAACCAAAAAAGCACCCAAAAAAACCAAAACAAATAAAACCCAAAACAAAACAAAAATACCAAAATAAAAACCACACCCGAAGAAGCACAATCTCCTACTCACAAATATTTCCAAGGTTTTGGAATTTAAAACACAGCTACACAACTAAGCATTAACATCTGCTCTTATTCCCAAGCACTTTCTTATCAGTTACAGTCACACACCCTCTTTTGCTCCATTTGTAGAAATGGTCCCAGATATTCTGTCTGACCACGTCTATGGAACATTTGCAGATGGGTCTTTCACAATCTTGGAACACAATACTGCACTATAATTTTTTTTTTAGTTTGTTTTATATTATTGTCTTTCGTAACAATTCATAAAACAATTTCTGTGCAGGAAATCCTCACCCAGGTCTAAGTCTTGCTTACAGTCCAGTACAGAATATGTGTGTGTGTGTGTATATATAGATAGATATAAAAAACAGTATGTAAATGTTAGCACTTAGCTGAGCAACTGTATATAATACTTGCTCAGGTCCCCCAAATCCCCCATGAGCTACCTTGCTATGAATGATTTTGCTACAAGGTACCTCCTTCATCCCAAATACTTCTACATTCCTTTTCTTAATTTTATGTGGGATGTACATTTATTTTATCTTTTTTTCTCTTCTAGTGAGTGTTTTGCAGTCTTGCAATATGTAATTTCATTATAAATTCTGATTTTAGTGTGAAAATCCTGATTTCTGAACATAAATTACTCGTGGTTAAGAAATACACTGGTGTAGTTAGTTTTGTGTCTGCAGCACAAAAGAGCTCTTTTTGGATGGCAGAGCACAATACCAAAGCATTGTTAAAATATTTGATTTGTCATGTTATTGAATACCTAAGTATATCTGCTCTGGGCAAGGGGTTAAGTGAGTTCTGTGACCCCTTCCAGACTAGATTATTGTATGTTGCTTTGATGTAGAAATGCCTATGGTTCAGCATCCTATTTCAGACTCCTTTGTATAAACATGCACTTCTTCTTTGTATATATATTGCTTTGTATATCACTTTAGTTAGTAATATAGTTAATTTGCTCTGAAGGAGAACCTCTCAGTGAAACCTAGGTTAAATAATGGTCTTACAGCAGTGATTTCAGAGTATTAGAGTATTTTTATGGAAAGATTGAATTTGGTCTAGAATATCGCAAGACTCTGTATTTTGTTAATGTTTACTGAAAGTCCATTTAACTTAAATTTTAATAATTCATAGGAAGTGTAGACTATTTGTCCTACATTTTGTCTTTGTGAAATGTTCAGAGCATGCAGTGTTCCACAGGAGTGTGTTTTCCCACTTCAGTACATCTATCATTATTTCCATTTTAGCTCCAGATATACCTGTTATTGACCAAGCTTATTCAAAACTTAGCAACAGCATCACAGTGGAATGGAGAGCGGTACCTGGGGCTACTAATTACATGCTGACTGCACAAGATGGAGATTCCTTTGTTGAAACTATAGTAAAAAATTCTCCAGGCACAGTGACGGGACTGAAGCCTGCCACTTCGTACCGAATCACTGTGAGATCTATAAATTCAGGAGGAAAAAGCCAGCCTTCACCTTTCAGAAAAGTAAAAACAGGTGGGCTTTCAAAATCTTATTTCAAATTATGTAGTGTTATTATAACATAAAGCATTCATGCATGTGCCAGTCCTGAATTATTATAATCTTTATTTTAAATTGTACTCATCACATTCTTCTTTCAGTTTTCGAAAACTAGAATTCAGCCATCTGACATAATGACCAGGACAAAAGTCTGAATTAATGGTTTACTTTATGATGGTACAGTAAGTTAAAAGTTCATCTGGGAGTTTCACTAGAATTTCTATGAATATATGTATTTTGCTTTAATAAAAGACATAACTTGAAGGAATAGAAGAAATAAAGAAACAACCAAAAGTATAAGATAGGAAGACAATGTGAAACTTAGAGGACAGGAAATGCAGTATCTTCTTGGTGATTTTCATTCTTCAACACATGCAGCCCTTCTCACTTTCTCTACAGCTTTTGTTCTTTGTACAACTTTTATTCATTTCACAAAATGTGCAATACAATAATTGTTGTGCCAAATCACTTTCCAAATTTGTTCTGTTGATCGTGCATTAATTTCTTTTTTCTGGTTTTGTTGTCACTGAATTTGTCTCTCAGGGCTAGTGATTGTTTTTTCTGATATTCATTTCAAATTTGGCCTTTTCAAGCTGTCCTACTGATAAACCAAATGCATAATTTTGTTCTTTCTCAACAGTCCTCGCTGCTCCGATTCTGTCTGTTCGTTCTCCGAGTTGTGGCTCCATTGCAGTGAGCTGGAAAGCTGTGCATATGGCAGCTGGATTCTCTGTGTCACTTGTGAGATCAGATGGTTTGGGCAGAATGCTGAAGCAGAACACCACCAATACCTCCTTGATGTTTACAAATCTAGATCCAGGAACTCTCTATACTATCAAGGCTTATGCCTGGAATGCCAATGGGATGCCTGGAGATGATTTCACATATAACCAAAGAACAAGTAAGAAATTTTCTTTTCTGAAACTAAGTCAGCATTCTAAAAACAACATAGCAACAATATACCAGAATATTCATGTGTATTTGTGATTGCATTATGTTTTTCAAAGATACATTGAGTAGATTTTCAGATCATATTTTTGCCCCATCTCAAAGTTTATGAAAGCTCAGATGACACGGCTATGTTTAGTGAACATTACTGAGGCAAAGATAGCAATTACTGTCACTAAAGTTGTACTTAGGACAGGTCTGGATAAGAGTTACATAAGCTCAGATTGATTTGGAGGACTTTTCTAATTGTGAGAAGCAAATATTCAAGTAAGCTGGGAGTTTCAGCCATGGTCAACTAGAATTATTTCTTTTTTAAAATGTAATTTTAACATAAATGAGGGTACTGTTTGCACTCAAAAAATGCATTTAGTTTGCAAGTTGTGAAGGAGATCATGTCTGTAGGCCATAATCTAAGTTATATTTATGTGTTCCAAATCGATATACCATAGGTCCTCATGCACCAGTGGATGTTAAAGTAGCTTTCAATAGTGGTGCTTTAAGAGCTGCTGTCTCTTGGATGCCAACAGAAGGAGCTCTAACTTACAGTGTCACAGTCTCCAGTGGACTCCTGAAACTGAGGTGTAACACATCTTCTGCCTCCTGCATGGTGCCATCCCTCCAGTGCAGCTCTGAATATTATGTGTCTGTCACAGCATACAATGATGCTGGATCCAGTGAACCTACTGATGCAGTAAGCATAAAAACGAGTATGTGTCACTGATTGTGATGTAGCTTATGACATTTTAACATCTGCTTCTTTAATTTCAAATGTAAATGAGTCCATTTATACCAATTCACAGGTTATTCTCTAATAGTTCTTCTTTTGACCTTTGTTCATGAATTATGTCATATACTTTTCTATTGGAGGGGTAAGAGCCTAAACATTCTTCATATTTCTGTGACAAAAACTTGCAGTGGTGGAACAAATTTGTGAGGAAATGGCATTAAGGACTGTCTCTGAGCATAGAACTGTTCTGGGCCATGTCAAATTGTTAGTTAGAAAGGGGATCAACAAAAGCACATTTATGCAAAGTAACATCACTAGACTAAATCAAGAAACCATCAACCATATTCAGGACAACAGCTTGCTCAGCTGAGCTATAGCACCACTGCAATGCCAGAGATTGTTGTTTCCTGACCTGTTAGATGAACTGCTCGTGTAATCAAAATCTCAACAATTTATTTTTTGTTATATGCTACTTGAAATACACAACACTATTTACTTAGTTATTTGATGTAACCTGCCTCATTTTGACTTTTGATAGGAGATCAATCATCAACTCTGTGTTGCATCTAACACGATGAGAGAGCCTTATGCAAGAGACAGCTATTATGCTGTGGGCTGTAATCTCAACCAACACTGCTTCAGCTAGATCACATATATTCATTCTAATAGCAGCAAGCTGCACTTTACTGAACTAGAAAGAAAGTAAATGTTATTTAAACAGAAGCAGTTTGCAGTTTAATGTGGCATTTTGGAATGCCAGTAGAAAGGAAACCTAAGCAAAGGACAGTTGTACTCAGACACAGACAGTAAATGTTACGAAAAAATATAAAGGGTTTTCACATATAGAGGCTTTTGGATGCCAACTGCTATTCATGCTAGTATTCCAATTATTATCCAAACCTACTATTTGTGAGCACACACTGTGCCAGTTTCTTTTGAAATATTGCCTGGTCACTTTTTGTTCAGAGGGCTCCTTAAGCAGATGTCTCTGTAAAACATGATGGTAGCATCTATTTTGTTCTGTAAAAATCATACCCACTTGTCATCAAAATATAAGCATCAACCTCTGTAGAGGCAGCTAAGTTGCTGCTTTCTTGATCAAGACATAGCAGCTGTTCAAGCTGAGTAGAATAATTCTATATTCTGTATAATTCAATATATCCCTGATTTTCCTTTATTCCCCAAGAGTATAATTTCAAGAAATAAAAAAATAATTGTATTGAGAATTTTTTCTTTTTTTAAAATGTTTTTTTTTCAGTTCCTTGTGCACCAGTAAACATATCAATTGAGGAGGATGAATCTGGTCACTTGCTGGTATCATGGTCTAGCGTCAGTTTGGGTCATTATTATGTGGTTTTTGTGAAGAGTGATGATGGCTTGGAAGTGCACTGCAACACATCACATACTCAATGCCATTTCCAGTCGGACTGTGGTTTCACTTATTTCATTAGTGTCTTTGCATATAACAAGGCAGGACAGAGCCCTTTAGGTGACATTCTCAATTACACTACTGGTAAGTAGCCATGTATTCCTGCAAATTCATTTGGGTCCTTTAACTGTATTTATGGTAGAGCTGTTTGGACATTTTTATGGAAGATAATGACTTAAACTTCTACTTTTATTCAGGTTTTGGGCATAACACACAAAGGTTGGCAGAGAAAAAGAAACAGTTGACATTGCAATTAAACGTAACTTGCATGGTCAAGTGCAACAACATGCATACAAACTTGAAAACAGTTTAACAATTCACAATCATCAGGCAAGGACATATGAATAACACACTGACCTGGCATAACATTTGAACTCTAGTCCTGTCTGGGTTTTTGAGGTTTTTTTTTTGTTGTTTTACCTCAGGAAGAGTATACCAAAGTCTTCAACTTCCTCACAGGGAGTTTGCATACTTGGAAAATGAAAAAAAATAGTAAGTTCAATGGGGAAAATGAGAAGAACATTGTTATTTAACCTCTAGACCTTTAAACTTTTAAACCAAGGATATGCATAATTCCTTTGTCTGCCCTAAACCCTAGTATGTCCTCTATCGATTTGGAAGGAGTGGTACTGAATTAATTTAAGAAGTAAATTTGGGATTCATTAGACAGTTTGCACAGTGCTGGTCAGCTTTGGAGAAGACAAGAAGCACACAGATAAATGAAACAAGGCTTTTATTTGCACCAGTTTTCCACTCCCATTCCCTGTCTGCCTTTTTGTTCGCAGCTCCTTGTTGCCCAAGTGACTTCAGAGCCGTGTTCATATCAAGCGACACGGTGCGGGTCACCTGGGCTCCTGTGCGAGGCGCTGACCTGTACGAGACCCGAGCAGCTGGCGGCAGCGGAGTGGTGCTCTGCAGGGACACGGCCGCGGCCTGCACCCTGTCGGCTCTGCAGTGCAGCTCCCCCTACAACATCACCGTGTACTGCTTCAGCGAGGCCCGGGGCAGCAGCGCCTCGTGTGCGCCTCAGTACCTGGCGACAGGTAGCGATCGCTCATTTTCCTTTAGCTGAAGAAATCATTGTTATACACCACAGTGATTCGTGGATGAAAAACATTGCTGGAGTACTAAGTCGCTATTTAACTCTTTTACTTAATTTACTGATAAAAATGTCTTAAAAACCTAAAAACCAGCAACTCCAAAACTGAAAGAGAATACACTATAAGAAGGTGAACTTAAATCAAATTTGCATTGAAAGCTTCTGATAGCTCCAGTATTTTGAAAATCAGAATTACAAATTATACACAAAATCCTTATGTTGTCTGTTCTGTCACAATTTCTAAATTCTCACCAGGAGTAAAACAAAGATCATATGCTTTTCTGAAGCAATTTGCCAGTTCTAAGTGGAATTTAATTTTCACACATAACTTATATAGTATGCATAGATAATCTGTATAAATACTATTAATATGAAATATTTCAGCTCCCTGCAGTCCTGAAATTACAAATATCTCAAAGGAGGGTCCATCTGTAGTCAGTGTGCAGTGGCAACCTAACAATGAAGACGCTATGTACATTGTCACTGCCAGAGGAGAGGCTGGACTTTGGCATTGCACAAGCACCAGGAATTCCTGTACCCTAATGGATCTTCCCTGTGGATCTGCTTTCTCTGTAAGTGCTATAGCAAGATCACCAGCAGGACAGAGCTTACCAAGCTACAGTATCCCTTTAGAGACAGGTATGGGACATTGTATATAGTTCAACATACTTAGCAGCATAATATTAAGATAGTTCTACAACTCTATGGTTTTGGCTATTTTTTATTTACAGTATATGCACATAGTACTATGTATTGCTGGATGTCCTTTTTGTAAACCTGTCTGTATCTTTGTGTGTGACAAGGAAGGGTCAGTTGGCAGTTGTCTCATACTGAGAGGCCTTAGTGCAACCAATTATCTTCTGGCACAGCTAACTAAAATGTAATAACATAAGACACTAATGCAATGCATAACGTCCTTGTCAGCATTTTGATATTTAGTACTACCAGGAGAGGCAATGAAGTAATGTCCATGTCAACAAATAAGCAGTTGTAAAGAACAGATTAAAGAACATCCTACCCACTATTCCTGCTATTAATTTGCTAACAGGTTTTGTCCTCTACCACCTCTCCAGGCAGAGATTAATATACACCAGGATCTATTTTTAACATGCAATTTGGCTGCAGTCATTTTACATTGTAGAGACTTTAAACAGAGACAGAGCTGGACTGAGATATATGACTTGAGGGGTAGAGACGGACCCTGCTTAATTACACTACAGATGTACTCTGATATTCTGATGAAAAATCTTAGTAATTTTTAGAATCTTGGTGAACAATAATTTTATAATAATTCCAGGGTTCTAACACATAGTTAGAGACAAATTGACCTTACATTAACATTGTTTGCTAGAGGCTTGTCAGCAGAGTCAACTATTTTTCAGCATGCCTGAAAAATATGCACTTCCTCATTCCTTTAATCTTGATCATGTGCTATTCTACCTGCAACCCTGCAAATACCTTCCATTTTCCAGGTACAAAACAGAAGTCACATCTCTGTTTTTTGCTCTCTTTCAGCTCCTTGTTGCCCTAATGACCTGACACTAACTCAAGTGACACAGTCGGTAACCAATATCAGCTGGTCTGTTGCGAGGGGTGCACAGACATATGTAACAACACTGGAGTCTCCAAAAGGACAGGCAAAGTGTCACACACTTCAGACCTACTGTCTCCTGGGATGTATCACATGTGGCACCAACTATACAGTGTCTCTGAGAGCAGTCAGTGAGACGGGTTTGACATCCAGCTGCACCTTTCAGGGATATTCTTCCAGTACGTAAAGTGTAGATGCAACTGGGAAGAAAACCACTCAATATACAACATACTTTGTGTGGTGTCCCTCTCATAAAAACAGCACAGCTGAAATTCAACACACAGCTAATAACACCTGCAGTTCCCTCTTTAAATAAATGCACTTCAGATTATTTTCATATAATCAGGACTTGTTCTTATGACAGCCATCAGTTGGCTATATAAAGAATTTCTAATAATTTTGCTTCAGAAAGTTTTTTAATTTAAATTATGCTATGGCATAATTAAATTTTAGAGAACTCAAAAGGATTCTGGGCATTCTAAGGTAGGTCTTAAGCCAGGTGAGAGCAATAACATTCCAACATATAAAACAAAGACTGAACTCCAGCTCCATAAAGTGACTCTAATAAAACTGTTCTAGTTCAGTTCAAGAATTATTTTGGCTTTGTGAAAGAATAATTTTCTCTTTAAAATGCTGGTAATCATAGTAATCTGGTTTAAACTGAAATCTAGAAATTTACAATATACTGTGAGTTTACAAAATTAGCTCATTAATGTTTCTTACTTTCTTAGGTGCTTGCTGCCCTTCTGGGGTGAAGCTCTATAGACTCAGCAACACTGGCATCAGGGTGTTCTGGCGAGCTTCTGATGAAACAATAAACTACAACGCTGATTTATGTGGCTCAAAGGGAAATTTCAGCTGTACCCCCAGCTCGGGTCTGAGTCACTGCGATATCACCAAGATACCTTGTGGGGATGTCTACACTGTGCTGGTAGCTCCAGTGACCAACAAGGGGCCAAAGCTCACATTTTGTCCTAAGAAAATATATTCAGGTAGAACTTAAATTTATTTGATTTTTTGTTTTGTTTTGTTTTTTGCATGCTAGATGGCTACAAAGTTATGCAGGTAAAGGTGGCATGGAATAGAACTTTTCTGCTCTACTGTTGACTGCAGCGTAAATTTTATGAGTGCAGTCTTGCAATATCTGTGATGGGAATTTCACAGCAGCATTTTGGGTCTGGGCACACTTATCTGCACAGATGCCTCCTAACTGGATCACCCATAGCCTGGTGAATATAGAAAACTTAATGTTCAGTTGGGAGGTGAGGAATGGTTAGAATACAGAAGCAAATAAATGAGCATTTTGTTTTACGTATTTTTTAAATAAAGAAACAAATCAATAACTACAATGAATCACTCCTAATAACATTTTTTAAGTAAAAATTTTTTAAAGGGGAAGAAATTACTTTGCCTTTCCCAAGGCATGGATTTAATCCATTATAAAACTACTGCTATCTGATGGGATTGCATAGTAGTATAGATGGACTACATACTGCAGACTAATAATATTTTGCAGCTTACAACCTGATCTCTAACACTTGCACCACTGTTTCATGTAATTTCAGTCACCTGTTCTGGAAGCTCTGTTGGAATGGGTAAGAGCAGTACATTCATGAAAAATTCTTGAAGTTTACAGAATATTTTTGCATCATCATCAAGTAAGATGTATATAACATATAGATTTGATAGTCAAAGCTTCTGGTAGTGTTATACAGGTTTATCTCATCCCCTCCCCCATTTTATAATGTATAATTTAAAAAAGCCAACAAAACCTTACCTATATTGTGGCCTGCATACTATCATGCATGGTCACAACACTTACTACTAACCTTATAGCACATAATAAAAGGTAGGATTATCTTTTATAGCCTTCCTACATCCCATTACAAATGAAACTAGGTGGCACTTCTGCTTTCTATTTTCAAAAAGGTTAAAAAAAAAAACCCAAACGTGTGGCTTATCTCAATCTATTCTACCTTATTTCTTCTGGGTTTCAGCAGGATAGTGTTTTATTTGCGTATGTAAACTGCTAGAAACAACTTCAAAAGCAGCCACTGAAAAAGAATTTCTCAAGACAGTTGCTTTTCCATAACTGGAATTGTCTTAATTTCCAAATTCTTTTCTAGTTATTTATAGAGGAAAGAGCAATGCAAAACACATCTAGATGAAATTCTGGTTCAGCTAAGGAGGTAAGTTATAAGAATCGCAATTTATATTAGAATGTATGATTAAATCTTTGGGATTGGAGGGAAATGTTTCACCAGTCCTGTATATCATAAGTGGTTTGTTAAAATCCATCATATTTACCTGTGAAATCTCTTGTCATTTATTTCTACTAGCACTACTGATTTGTCCTCTCCTCCACTTGTAACAACCTTCTTTCACTTCATTAAACCTTCACTTCACTATGCTGTAATTCCCCAGAAAAGCCCTTAGAATCCAAACAGATAAAAATATTCTTCAGCACTCATTTACTTTCTCCTGGTGTTCTGGACTATTTTCTGCTCCTGTCTCAGAGGAATGACAAGAAATTGCTGCTGACTTTTTCCCTAAGGTTGATCTCCTTTTTGCTGCTGTTCACCTACTGCTATCCTGGATGTTAAGATTGTTCATAACACCATTCTCTCTAAATGTTATTTTCAGTCTTTTTTCCCCTGAAGCTGGAAAGACACATCTGTGCTTAAGTACAACATTCACAGCTGCTTGAGGACTGGGAGCAGGAAAGCTGAACACCTAGCCATATCTGAGACCTAATCCAGGCAGGACCTTCTCTCACACTCCACCGTGGTTACTTCTTCAGCCAACTTTGAAAGCAAGGTTTAAGGTCAATGGTTCTACAAACACTTTAACAGAGTCTTTGGAAGCTCATGTGTACAAAGGTATCCAAAGACAACAGGGTTTCTAGCACTATTTTCAGCTTACAAAAACAGACACTATCCATTCTGGAAATTGCCTTTGTTCAGGGAACACATTAGGTGTTAAGTGTCTCAGCCAATGCTTCTGATCACTTCTATAAAACCTCAAGGGAATCTCATGCTTCAATAAGTTGCTTGTACATGGCCCAAGAATTCTATGCTGTTTCTTAAAACATGATCTGCATTTAGTCACAATCAAACAAGTCTTTCTTTAGGAAACATTATTTAAAACTGCTCTGCATTAGTTAATAGAAAGTCGGTTTTATTTGTTACTTAATAAAAAAAATTAAACTCTTCTTTCTTGAAGGTTCTATGTCAATATTTCTTCTTTGCAGACATCATTACCAAACACTGTCACCACAGTGTGTTTAACTGGGTTTGTCGAGATCTAAAGCAATTGGTTTCTCTTGGAACTAAATTCAAGCCCTGAACTACTTTTCACCTAAGCAATTCTGATAATTCTATGCTCTAATAGTAACTCTAATGTACTTTAAGCCATTCTAAACTGTTGGTTTTCTTAATTCTCTCTGGTGTACAGCCCTTAACATTTCAATTACACACTACAAACAACAATGTTGTAGTACTATGTTCATGAACTCCTCTCTCTTTTGTCACTGAAGTGTAATTTTATCAGAATGTATTATTTGTATGTCTGTTGGTGAAAAAAAAAAGGCAAAGAGCTGAAGAGAAGTAATGATTTCAAGAAAAAACTACATTGATTCAGTTCTAAAAAAGTGGGTAGCAGATGTATACACTTAGCAAAACAGGGAGGAAAAGCAACACAATGAAATTGAGCCAGATTTCACACCGCCTACTATGGCAGTGTGTAACCTCAAGGTGTTGTTATTCAGGCATTAGACATTGTCTCTAACACTTAACATGGCTGATATGTGAAACAGAATTCACATATTGATGAGAACTGGAATTCACTGAGCTGATTGAAAAATTTGGTCAGGATTGGTCGCAGGTTCTCTCCAGACTGAGGTAAACACACTTTTATGGATCACGCTGGCTTCAGACCACAGGAAAGGACAATTAAATGTCACATTTTTGTAGATGCTGTTTCTGTACTATTTATTCATATGAAGCTCTGGACTTCATGAACCAAAAAACCCCAAGCAATAAAATTCTCAACCAAACAAACAACAAAAATCCTACCAAAAAAACCCCCAATCAATCCAACCCCACTGTCTCTTGAAAGAAGACTTGAGAACCAAGAAAATTCCTGGTGAAGGCTTGGAGGTAGGCAGCATATGGATATAATAAAATGGATGCTTTCAGAGCAGTATCTGTGAAATCATGTGGACTAACAAATGAGGTGATTAAAACCCCCTAGGTTATTTCACAGTAGATTACTTCATTAATGCTTACTTAATAAAAAATTTAAATTCAATGCATAGTAGTAAAGATGTATTAGTTGGAATTACACAAATATGAACACTTGCAAAAAAAAAAATTGTATATATTATTTAAAATACAGAGTTTTAAACTTCATCTGACACAGAACAATAGTTCAAAACTTGGATTTCAATCCACTGAAGGAATTCGCAAAAATCTACCCTTCAGCTGATTTCAGACTTGACCCAAATTTACTGAGATTTAGTGTTCTACCACATCTAACTACTGCTGGTGAAGAGTAAAAGAGATACAATGACAACCGCATTGCAAAACATCAAAAGTGGCACTTAAGTGCTGTTTTACCCTGATTAATAGCTGCTGGTCATGCATGCTTAAAGCTATGTGCGCTTCACAGTGGGGCAAAGGATTCAAACATCTAAAGCCACTAGAATTCATCAAATTCCTTCAGGTTCCCCTAGAGGGGAACTTGTATGCTGTGGGAGGCTACTAATATTACTATTCCAGTACTTAGCATTGGAGCCACAGGAAATTTCCAAGAGAGATGAGGCTTTACCAGGATAACTACCCTAGCTGTTATGGACACGTGGCATACCTATGGAAACTTCGGGTTCACAGTGCTTCGGTCATGGTCATTTACCCTGAAAACTGCAGAGTGAGTGCACAGACTGTGAGACAACAGCTCTGCAACCACAGCTCCTCCAGCTAAAATTGGCAAATTTTGTTCTAATGCCCCTGAGATGAACGTCCAGTGCACCTGTACTGCACTGCACTGCAACAACTGCACTGGAATGGGCAGCACTGGCGCCTCCACTAGCTCACCCCTGCTCATCAGAGCTGCTTTCACAGGCCTGCAGCTCCTTCTGCTTTTTAAAGAAGGGCATATGAAATAATAAAATGGCATCAGAAAAAGGAATTAAAAGAGATCCTGGATACAAACTGAAGAGCTGTATGACAGTAAATCCCAAGGATAATTTTAGACAGGTGTCTTGATTCAAGTAATTTCCACAGGTCTTAGTTGGCAGTGAATATTGCACTGTACATTACCTGCTAACTCAATTGATTGCATTAAATTCAGAGGTCAAAAAGGACTACTTATAAAATAGGAAAATAAAAGCATAGTTCTGAAATTAAGACTTGTAAAGAGATACTGGGAGGAGCCACTCTCTGCACAAGCTGTATCAAAATATTCACCATCTTTGTTGTAGTGAGACAGTGCTTGTCAGGTCAAAGATTGTCTCTCAAATACCTGCATTTTTCCCTGCAAATGAACTCTTCCTTCACTGTACTGCCCAACAGTCTCAGAAGAGGAAGAGCCCTGAAGGAAAAACTGGAAATCAGTAATCCATTTTCCCTGACAAAACACTGGTACTGCAGCCACTGTGCCTAAGAACATATTTGTTTCAGAGACTGAAGATTAAAAACAAGGCCAAAAGAAGCCCTCTAGACACAAACAAGATAAATTGAAGTTGCCCTCACTGGACAGAATCCATGCAATCTCTTGGCAGACTGCAGAGACAATTCTAGTAATCTACTAGACAGGGCATTTTTTTTTCTTCTCCAGTATTTTGGTTTTACACTGCAAGGGAATGAATTTGTTGAAGCTTAAGTTTTGTTTCAAGTTCAGACTTAAAACCAGGTAACACAAATATAAGCAGACAACCGTAACAATGTCAATACTTTTAAAAAATGTTGATTACTAAGGATCATGGTGATAAAGACCATTACAGTTCAGAAACCAGGAAGAAAAAAAGTTAGCTTCTTGGAATACTACGGAATGAAGTATACTGTTGAAAGTCTAAACACTCTTTTCACTGGATGTTTAAAACGAAACATGCCTAGATGACCTGTATCACACAGAAGCAAAAAAAGGCAAAATACTGTATTTCTACCCTCAAGTTACTTCATGATTGATTCCCACTTCACATTCTTCCTATCTTGGGGCTGTGGCATTTATTTTGTTTGCTACATCTTCGTTGTAAGTTACTTACTACATAAAATCCCTTATTCACACAAAGTGTCACTTGATCTGAAAATAAAATGTGGAGGAACTGAAGCACTCTTTAACTGGCAATGAACGTGCAGGGAAAAGCTGACACTCAATACAAAGGAATTAATTGAGAGTTTATTCCAGATGGTTGTCCTCACTTAGTATACAAGTCATCAGAATAATCTATGAAATAGACTTGGACTTTAATGATACGATCTTTTTCTATAATGCATTTTGGGTTTTCCTTCTAACAACCTGTTTAAAAAAAAAAGTCTGCCAGATGAAATGTTCAGCACAAACTGTGATCTTTACTATTTGTAGAAAATATGAATTAAAAAAGGACACTATCAGTTAATTCTTATTTTAAATGTTTACACTTATAAAATGCTTTGGAAGCTTGAAACTTAAATCCTTTGTGATATTTTTCTTCTTCCTACCTCCCTCTTCCCATCTTAAATGCCTTTATTAGCCCAGGATTATCATAAATGACAGAGTGCAGCTGCTTAAAAACATTAAAGGACCACAAATGGATAAACTGTTTTTTTTTAAAAAAAGGAAGCTTACATGGATTTTCTTCAAACAAAATGCATAGATGGCTACGGTACTCATCCGTCAACCTTTACAGTGTCCGCTTGAGGTAGCCCTTCTACAGAATAACTAAACAAGCCCCAACATAATCTAAATCCTTGCATCAAAACCACTATCTCTCAAAGTCCACTCAATTTAACACCACTGGTGATCAACATAATACATTTTAAAAGCTTTGGACAAAATAGCAGATACAGTGGGCATAAATGTTAGTTCTAAATCTGCAGCCCTCAATGTACATTGTATGCACATAAATATCTCAGCTATAATACACATTCCAGATCCATCCCTAAAAGCCATACTATTATGGAAAGCACAGCCATGCTAACTTCAGGATACAAACCATAATTCCACGTCTACAAAAGGAAAGTATAATTAGTGGCAGTTTATTGCCTCATACAAATTTAACCAACATGGCAACCATGCCAAAGGAATTAAAACATTTTCAGGACATATGTACAGACTGTACATTTCAGAAACATCTGAACAATAAAAATGCAAGAACAATCTCGGCATTACAAATTAAACTAAACAAATGGTTTGAAACCGTCAATGCATTGAATGGGTTTACAAAGGCACTTCCCTACCGAAAATAGGAAATGACAATCTGCAGCCTAGAGGGAGGTTGGAGAAGAGTGCTCATCAACTACTGCACAATCTCAACTTTAAGAAAAAATAAGCAGGATTTAATCAAACATTTATAGGATTCAATGTGATCCACTTTTGAAAGAATTCACACAGTCTCATCTTTGTTTTTCTGTTGCTTTTCTTGGCTCTCTCGTTCTGTACTTTGGCTCCTTCGACGATCGTGTTTGTCAGAATGGTCCTTGCTATCACTGTGATCATGTTTGTGGGAACGTTCTTTGCTTCTGCTACGCTTCCTAGATTTTTCTTTGCTTGGACTCTGATCTCGTTTTCTGGACTTCTCAACACTATCTGTTCTTCCTCTGCTTCTGCTTCTACTTCGTTTATTTGACTTCTCCTTATTTTCATTTTTATGTTTACTTGATTTTTCTTTGCTCCTGCTTCTGCTGCGCTTACCTGTGTTCCTGCTTCGGCTCCTACTCCTATGCTTTCTTTCCCGGCTTCGACTTCTACTATGCTTTCTCTCTTTTTTGGAATCCCTCTTATCGTCGCGGTGTTTCTTCTCATCTTTGTCATCCTTGTGTCTCCTCTCCTCTGTGTCACCCTTACTTTTCCTTTCTTTTGACCTTTCTCTAGATCGATCTTTTTCCCTCTCACTACCTCTTTCCTTATCATAATCTCTCTCTTTTTTCCGACTCCGCTCGTTTTCTTTCTCTCGCTCCCTATCCCTGTCTCTTCTATCTCCTTTCCTGTCACGACTTCGACTCCGGCTTCTGTATCTGTCCCGGCTTCTGCTTCGCCTCCTTTCTAGTGAGCGATCGGTACTTCGAGATCTCCGCCTTTCTTTTTCTCTCTCCTTTGCTTCACGCTCTAATCTCTGCCGTTCTCGTTCTCTTTCTAGTTCTCTATCAAAACTAGATGATCCATGTCCTTCCCGATGGTGACTTCTGCTTCTGGATCTTCTGGGAGACCTCCTGGGACTGATGGATCTCGGTCTTGGAGACCTTTTAAAATAAAAGACATTCTATATGAAACACCTCCTTCAATAGTTAAGAAATCCTCTTT